GGCAAAGTACAGGCTCAGCGGCAGCCCGATCAGATTGAACGACGGCACAATAATGCATGCGCCGAGCTTCTGGCGGCCCAGCCCGCGCAGGATCGCGCCGAAGACCTGGTTCAGCCCGTTGCAGGTGAGGAAGATGCCGGCTACAGGCATCAGGTCAATAACCACCTGGGTGACCTCGGGGTCGCTGCTGTAGAGATTGCCCCACCACTCGCGCGCCAGCACAAACGACAGCGTGGTGGCAGTGCCCACAACGATGGTCATGATGGTGATGATGTGCGACGATATGCGAGCACGTCTGGCTTTGCCGGCGCCCAGCAGGTTTCCGATACGCGGGGTGGCAGTGAAGCCCATGGCGCTCGGGATCTGGCCCGACAGCGAGATGATGTTGAGGATGATTGCCTGCGCCGCCAACTGCGCTGCGCCAAAATACGAGGCAGCCAGGGACAGGCTCTCGTATGCCCACCACTCGCCGCACGTGGTGATCACAGCCGGAATCCCAAGCTTGTAGAAGGCACCCAAGCCATGCAGGCACTCGCGCGACCACCCGCCCCAGCACTGGCGTGCGTCGGCATTCATGCTGGCATACGCCCAGATGCCCAGGAACATGAGCCAGAACGTAATGGTCAGGTTCAGCGGCGCGCCAAGGTACCCGATCCCAAAGGTCGGCGACAGAATCAGCAGGTAGCTGTTGACCCAGTGGATGGGAGCCGCAACCAGGATGACGATGGTGCTGGCACGCATAATGCCCTGCGCCTGCAAGTACCGCTTCGTGCACTCGTACAGCGCCCATGGCAGCACGCCCGGCAGAAACACCAGCATGTACTCGCCGCACAGCCTCGCAATCTCGGGGTCCTGGCCCAGCATCAGCATCAGCCATTCCATGTTCAGAAACACGATGCTGACCGGGATCAAATGCAGGACCACTGCGACCACGCCGCGCTGGAAATGCAGCCCCACCAGGGTCTTGTCGGTTGAGGCAGTGAAGGCGCTCGAGCAGAATGTATCCATGGCCGACGCAAAGCCAAGCGCCGGCGCCAATGCAAACACACCCGAGACCATGTATGCCAGCGATGTGGCAGCCAGCTCCTTGGCGCCAATGTTGCCGATGGCCACAAAGTTTGCAAAGCCAAGGCTGAACTGCAGAAAGTACGTTGCCACAATTGGAACCGACGACGCGGCGAGCCACTCAAACTCCTGCTTGGCAACTATCCGGTACGGCTTCCTTCCGCGGTACTGCGGCTGGTACTGAGTGTACTGTGTGGCAGACTTGAGCAGAGATGTTGTCTCGTTGGTGCCTGCATCGGCTGAATCAGCCAGTGTTGTCTGCGAATCGGCACGCTGGTACTTGGTTAGAGATGACATTTCTGCGAGGGATGCTGGTTTTGATCTGGCTGTAGATGGGCGTGATGCTTGAGGATAGGAAACGGAAAGAGGAGAAAGAAAAAGAAAGATGAGAGAAAAGCAACCAGAGACAGAAAACCAGACGAGGGCGTGGACGACACGAAGATGCTTGGGATGTTGCGTCGGCGGGAGGATAGTAGGACAGGGCATCTGCTTTTAAGTTGTCGGCAGACGAACAAGGCCTTAGCACCAACAAACAGGTGTCGACAATTGCCTTTTTCGCGTTCGAGAAAAGGGAGCACGGAATAGCTGGTAGGAGAAAAATATACACACGCAGACATTCCTCTGTCCTGTTGCAGCCCGGTAGAGGCTGTGAAATGATGCAGGTTGTAAAGTGGCTGCGCTGGGCGGGCACTGATGTTTCATGTCTAAAGGGGCAATGCACAAGCGTTCGGCAGCAGCGATTTAGACAGATAAAGCTCGGCAGCAGCATCTGTTGGGTCCTGCAGCCTCCCCACCTTCCGCTTGTATTTATAAAAGATAGTCGCGTACTAACAATACATGATGCATACATCCTGCCGAGCACTGGCGTGCGTAGTTTGTCCTGGGATTTGCGTTGGGGGGTGGGGTGGCCAGAAAATGCTGTGCAGCTGAGCGCGGCCGAGGATACCCACGTTGTGATGCCTGCTTCTGCAGCACATGCATTGCCTGTTGGGCAGGTGGGAATGCACCCCCCATGCCCGATGTGCATGGCGCAATGATGAACCAAATGCTTCACCCATTCATGAACCGCTGTCTGTATATACTGGGCCAAAATACACGGAGGGAGAAGCGTGCCGCTGCTTAAGGGGTCTGCTCCCAATCACCGTGCCAGGATGCGACCGATAGTGCTCAGATGATGGTAGGGGCCGACGCGTGTCTTGTGCACCTGGGCTATAGTGCCGCACCCAAATGAGGCAACAGCCACTGCATTCCCATTCACGCCCCTGCGATGACGACCGAAAGAGCCACAATTCCGTTTGGGTCGCGCGGTTCCTTGGATCGGATTCGTCGGCTGCTCTCCGAAGCCTACCCCTGACGAAACCCGGTCACAGCTCATGGGAAAAATGATGCTGGGAATATGTGGCATCACTGCTGACGAATATGCCCTGGAGAGAATACCCGGATTTGAAACTGGGCCGCTCATGGGAGCCAGCAGGCACGTTTTTCAGGTGGGTCGGCACACTAGCACACTGGCACCTAGCTCGGCAGCTGGCAAGCGCCTGTGGATACAATTCCTGTTTTAGACAATGTAGGCAGTATGCACTGCTTTCATGCATCTCCCCTCCCCTATTCCTTGTATGTGTGCAACAAGCTGCTTGCCGTAGAATATTAAAATGTGCAAGGTATACGACCATGGCTGCTCACAATTAAACCTTTATTTGCAACTCCAGCAGTTTTGTGGTTTTAAAAGCGTCATGTCATCTGCTGGATTTCCAATGTCAAACAATGTTTCGTTTGCACCCGCTTACCCCTTCGGAGCTTGGCGCCCAACCTATGCATTCCGCTTCATTTGCTACAGGTTTCGGGGGTAGAACAAAGAAGGAAATGCAGTGCTCATGTGCGTTTCATAACAAGAGCAACGAGGAGAGTTGGCGGAAAGAGGACAATCAGACAGACAGTTCTGCACAGAGCCTGCTCGGTCGCTGGCCAGTGGCTGTACTTTGTGACGCCAGCGGCTATGCCGACCTTCATTGTCGCCTGCATTATCTGTTCACGCATTTACAGCCTCGGCATGGCTATTCTCATCATCCCCTTTCACCAGAAGCTGTTTCTCGTCTGCCTATCCTCATGAATAGCTCAGGCTATATAGTGCAGTGGTTCTTTTACAAATGCAAAACATCAAGAAAAAGGCGTGCAAAGTCTCGGAACTTCCTTTGTAGCTCACCAGTCGGTGTCGCCATCAGTTTGACAGCAAAGAACCAGCTTCAAGCTCATCGCTGACCAGTGCAGCGTCGGGGGCCGGCTCCTCGTGGTTCTTGAGGCGCTCCAAGGCATGCCTGACCTCCGCCTTCCAGTCAACCCACATGTAAATGTAAGTAATTTGCAGGGCAGACGAAATCATAATGCCAATACACAGGCCCCACCACAGACCAACAGCCTGCATGTGGTATGGGCCGTAGCCTAGGTAGAGCGCGATGGGGACAGCGCACAAGTAGAACCCAACTATATAGATGTTGGCACTGATCTTCTGGCGGCCAAGGCCGCGCAGAATGGCGCCCAGGATGGCATTCAGGCCATCGCAGATGAGGAACGTGCATGCAACAGGCATCAGTTTGGCTGTCTCGCGAGCGACATTTGGGTCCGAGGTGTAGACCGAGGTCCAGAAGTCGCCAAAGAACACCAAAAACATGGTGCCGGTCATGCCGACCATAATTGACGCGATGATGGACACATCGGCAGCAATGCGCGCCTGGCGCGGCTTTGCAGCACCGATCAGGTTGCCGATGCGCGGGCTGGCACCGAATCCCAGTGCATTGCTAAACTGGAAGATCAGACCGACAGAGTTGAGCATAATGGCCTGGCCAGCAAGCTGGTTGGCGCCAAAGTACGAGGCACCGATGGTCAAAAGCTCGAATCCGACCCACTCGGCACACACGGTAATGACGGCAGGGATTGCAAACCGGTAGTACTGGGACATGTTGCGGAAAGCACGGCGTGTCCATCCACCCCAGGTCTCGGCGGCGCTGGAGCGGCGCGCGTAAATCAGGATACCAGTGAACAGCAGCCAGTTGGATATGACGTTGACGATCGGTGCACCGACAAACCCGATTCCGTAGGTCTTTGAGCGAACAAAGAAGAAGTTGTTGAACCAGTGGATTGGCGCGATAATCATCACAACCACAGTGCCAGCGCGCATAATCTCCTGTGCCTGAAGATAGCGCTTGAAGGCTTCGAACATGGACCACGGCCAGACGCCCAGAATCTGGATCCGCAGGTACATGCCGGCCAGGCTCGCAATCTCAGGATCCTGGCGCAGAAGCAGCAGAATGTCCTTGGCAAACCACAGAACCGGAGAGACAATGAATAGATGGGTTGTGACGGCGATGATGCCGCGCTGGAAATGGAATCCCACTAACCGCTTGTCGCGCGACGCTGTGAAGGCTGTGGAACAGAACGTGTCCATGGCGGACACCAGGCCGATAGACGGCGCCAGCGCAAGAATGCCCATGCATGTCACCGACAGAGACATGGCAGCCAGCTGCTTTGCGCCGAGGTGGCTGACTGACATGACGTTTACAAAGAAGAACGACGATTGCAGCATCATGGTCAGGATGACCAGCGACGACGACGACGCCATCCATTTCGTCTCGCCCTTGGCCACGGCCAGCCATGGCGAGGTGGTGTCATGTTTGGAGATCTCGAGGCTGGTAGCAGATGGCGATGTGCTGAGGAGCGGTGTTGTCTCGCCGCTGTTGTGTGCTGTAGGGGCAGCAGACTCGAGGTCTGATGGGCGGGGCTGCGCGGTCATTGTTGTCTGTGGGTACCCTCCTGCAGTCCGAAATGAAAAAATATCGGCGATGTGAAGGTATTAAATGACGCAAAAATCGGAACAAAAGAGGGAAAAAGGAGTAATTGCAGGTTTGTGCTGCCGCCAGAGGGTGTACCTTGCGCTTTATAGCTATCGAGAGGCTAAAACTCCTGCGCGGTCTGGGTGCGGCCTCCCTAAAGGCAATCCCTAGGGCGGTGCGCGAGCAGAACGGACAAATTATATGGCGCAAACAAATTTCCGTCTGGCCGCAGCGCTCCTCTACGGCTTGCTCGTGTCCAATGCAATTGTGCCTTTGAACCCAAAAAAAATCCCATTCGGTGCTGCAAATGGCAAGTAAAAGCAGACGCAGTGGTCAGTTGTTGCGGCCAGAGCGCGCTTGCGCGCCTCAGCAGCAGATCCACTCCCCTGCCGTGAGAAAGCGACATCCATTAAATTGGCCCCCCGGTAATTGTCCATGACACATTAACAGCATATGTGATTCACGGCAGTGCAGCGCTGTAGCAGACACGTCTTCATGGCGCAAATCCCCGAGCTGCTCCGTCTACTACACCTGGCCATCGGAGGCGGTCTACTGGAGAGGGGTCGCAGGGCAATGCCAAGGGCGTTTCGGGTTTCTGGCCCAGGCGGAACTGTCCATCAGAAAGCGGGTGTCTGTCGGGCGCTGTGACGACTCGGGGACGCATCCGCAGCGCCATGACATTTGTAAGCTGGATCAACAGACTCTGCAGTATGTCAAATGACTGCTGTGATGCATATGCTAGAGACAAGGCAAACCCAGCGCCGTCCACACCGCTACCATTGGCCTGTCCATGAGCCTGGTGAAGGGGGTCAAGCTGCATCCGATGCTGGCTTTTGTCCTGCTTTCGATGAATACGCGTGTTTACAGAAAAAATGATGCTGCTGTTTATTTGCTGTCTACATTGCTCACGAGTCCTTGGCGAACAGCTCGGGCTTGGGCGGATCGATCTTGAACTTGTCTGAGCGGTGCGACACGTATGCCTGGAGCTCGCAGTTGGACAGATCGGGCACCACGTACGTGCGCACCTTGTTCAGATCAACGACGTAGTTGCCGTGCTTTGTGTGCTGTCCCATCGAGCCTGTGCGGTTACCCTTGTAAAAGTTGCGGCCCTGCTTCGACGTCATGACCCGCGCTTCGCACCACGGAAAATACCCTTGATAACCTGCTGCATCGTCGCCACCCGAAATTATTGTGTAAGAAAAAGGGTTGAATTGAGTGCGTGTAGGACTGAAAAGACCGCCGTATTTCTTCACGCTGAGATAAACCCGCCACGCTCGCAGGGAGGGGCTGATTACTGATCTAATCGATTATCTGAAAAAGTTGTCGAAAAAATACCCAAAAAAAGTCCTGCAGTTTGTGGTCGCTCCGTTGTATCCGCCCCACACGCCCCGCCCAACAGCTCTCTTCTGCTTGCTCGCTCACACTCTGAACAACATCATTCACTACTAGTACTATCTGACAGCCATGGGAGTGCAAAAGAAGGAGGCGTATAAGCCCAACAAGGTTCCGGGGAACCTCAAGCTCAAGGGCGAGAACTTTTACCGCGACCGCAAGAAGGTGCAGTACATCAACATGCTCAAGGGCGGCAAGGCCAAGTACGACAGCAAGGGCAACCTGCTCAAGGCAGCGCCGTTCCAGTCGCGGGAGGCCGGGCCAGCGCGCATTGAGCCCAACCGCAAGTGGTTCGGCAACACGCGCGTGATCGGACAGAAGGCGCTGGAGGAGTTCCGCGAGCAGATGGCGACCAAGATCAACGATCCGTACCAGGTGCTCATGCGGGCGCAGCAAGCTGCCGACCAGTCTGCTGCACGACAACACAAAGATCGGGCGTGTCAACATGCTGCAGACCGAGGCCTTTGGCGACACATTCGGACCTAAGGCGCAGCGCAAGCGGCCCAAGCTCAGCTTTGAGGACTTTGAGCAGATGGCGACACGCATTACGGACTCGAACGACAACTACGACCACAAGAAGGACACCAACCTGCTGGCCAACAAGCAGAGCGACTACACCGATGCCGCCCGCGACTGGTACTTCAACGCCGGTACGTCGAAGCGTATCTGGAACGAGCTGTACAAGGTGGTGGACTCGTCGGATGTCATCCTCCACGTGCTGGATGCCCGCGATCCGCTGGGCACCCGCTGCCGGCACGTCGAGAAGTACCTGAAGGCTGAGGCGCCGCACAAGCACTTGGTGTTTGTGCTCAACAAGGTCGATCTGGTGCCGACGTGGGTCACGGCGCGCTGGGTCAAGGTGCTGTCGCGCGAGTACCCGACGCTGGCGTTCCACGCCAGCATCAACCACTCGTTCGGCAAGGGCTCGCTGATCCAGCTGCTGCGCCAGTTCTCGCGCCTGCACTCGGACCAGAAGCAGATCAGCGTGGGTCTGATCGGATACCCGAACACGGGCAAGAGCTCGATCATCAACACGCTGCGGCAAAAGAAGGTGTGCAACGTCGCACCGATTCCCGGAGAGACCCAAGGTCTGGCAGTACATCACCCTGATGCGGCGCATCTACTTGATCGACTGCCCCGGAATCGTGCAGTTCTCGTCCAGCGACACCGACGTCGACATTGTGCTCAAGGGCTCGATCCGTACGAGAGCCTGCTCAGCCCCGAGGACTACATCCCCGAGATCCTCAACCGCGTGCGCCCGAGTACATCCGGCGCCACTACAACATCGAGAACTGGGCCGATGCCAACGACTTCCTTGGCGAGCTGGCCAAGGTCACCGGTAAGCTCAACAAGGGCGGCGAGCCCGATCTCCATGTCGTCTCCAAGATGGTCCATCAACGACTGGCTGCGCGGCCGTCTGCCGCACTACAAGGCGCCGACCGAGTACGCCGAGCCGCTGGCCGACTACGTGAAGAAGTCGGAGGAGACCGCCGAGTCGGCTGTTGAGAAGCAGACTGAGCAGGTGTCCGCTGACGAGGAGGTCGATGCGGAGGAGCCCGAGGAGGAGGTTGAGGAGGAGGTCGTTGCTCGCCACCACAAGGTCAACGTGACGCAAAAGTTCAGCAAGATCCCGGTTGTTGCCGAGTACCTGCCAGTTGATCTCGAGGGCGACAAGGAGCTGCGGCAGTCGGAGCGCGACATGGGCTCAGACAGCGAGGCAGAGAACGAAAAGTCCAACAAGCGCAAGAAATCCGACAAGGACTCGGACAAGAAGAGCAAGAAGGCCAAGCGCGCTGCGGGCGAGGAGAACGACAACGAGCCGGACTGGGATGAGGTGTTCCAGAGCGTCGTTGGTGAGGAGGCTGATGCTATTGACTCGGAGCTCGAGTCTGGCTTCTCGTCGTCTGACAATGACGACAACGAGAAGAGCGATGATGAGGAGGAGGCCACTGATGCCGAGGAAGCCCAGCCCGCGCCGGCGGAGGATGGGTCCGAGGAGGAGAACCCGCGGAAGAAGCGCAAGGCACCGCGTATGACCACCAACAAGATGAAGATCGGCAAGCACTACTACCCAGATGCCAACATCAAGAACAAGAACCGCAACAAGGTGCGCCCCGGTGGCCCCCCGACGCCATGGTCAAGCGCATGCGCAAAACCAGGATCGTGGACCGTGTCCAAGAAGAAGTAGTTCCTCAAAAACCAAGCTCCGTTTCCGCAATATATACCCGCTCTTTTTCAATATGCAATCGATTGGCCAGTGGGCAGATCGGCGGTGCATGGGTCCAGCGAAGTCCCAAAAAATTCATGGACGTGCGCATGGATTGTCACCTGAATCGTGGGGGCTGGGCGGACGGTGGCTGCCCGGCTGACTGGCCTGAGGCACGCCTCATGCGCCTTTCTCCTTCAAATCCCCTACTTTCGTACGCCTTTATTCTGTATTGTCAACAAGTAGTTAGCCATGGCACCCAGCGTAAGTGTTCGGGCAGCGAGCGAGGCAAGGAGCCAGAGTGCACGCATTGCTCTGAATTTTCAAGGCCCACTCATGCAAACGGTATCCTGTAGGTATCCTTCATATTCAACCCAAACACGCATGCGCAGTCGGTGTGGGAAAAGGTAAGCGCTGCAGGGCAGATCCAAGCACCAGCAAAAACCGGCCCCAGTGAATACCTCACACTCACCGTACACTCCAACACGGACCGTTTCTAGCTCAGACCGCACGCAGAGAAAGAGGCTAGCCGGCATAAAATGGGTGGCCAAGCCAACCAAGCGTGCCGGCCACGCCGCGAACTGGCCTACGCCAGCATCTTCAGCGACCACTGCACAGTGGTGGTAGCTATTGGCGGCGACGGCCTCTTGCACGAAGTAGTCAACGGATACATGGACGCCCACGGCAAGCAGTCCGGTGCCGCCATTGCAGTGATCCCTGCCGGCACCGGCAACGACTTCGTCCGGTCCTTTCCGAAGGCCGCCTGCGGTGCCGGCGCCCGGCGATATCCTGGATCTGATCTTGAATGACCAGCGTGTGAGAGTCGATATTGGCAAGTACAGCTGCACGAGCTCGGCGAGCGTCAGAAGCTCAACTGGTACCAGCGGTTATTTTGTCAATGCGGCATCGGTTGGGCTGGGCGGGCATACCGCGATGATGCTGGCGCAGGCGCGGTGGAGAAATAACGTGCCCGGATCCATTGCATACCTGGCTCAGGCCGTCAAGACGTATTTTGTCGGACTATCGGGCTCCGCTGGCCAGGTACTCGTTCTGTCTGAAGGATGGTGGCGGGGCATCGCCTGATATCACAGCCCAAGCTGTTGATTGGCGTCGTAGCCAACGGAAGAGTATTTGCCGGAAACATTGGCATTGACGCAGCTGCGCGTCTCGATGATGGGCTGCTAAGCTTTGTGTGCATAAAGAACGCCAGTTTGGCACAGGTCCTGGCCAAGGTTGTGCCGGCTGCGCTGCTATCGACGCTATCAAGTGTCCCACCAGCTTTGGGTGATATAGCGAAAAATGCAGTCAGCGTACACATGGAGGCAGTCGACGAAGACACAGTAGTTATTATTGAGACGGACGGCGAGATTGCCGGCGTGCTGCCCGCAGACTTTGAGGTAGTGCCGCGGTGTCTCGACATAATTGCACTCGAGTTATAGAATGTTGGTATATATTTTTAGACAGAGATGACAGAAGATTTGGTAATTAGATGGCGGTAGAGGGTAGTAAGATAAAGATGTCATAACCTATTTAGGATGAAAGGGAAGAACGTGAACTCTGCAATGTGCAAGACAGGGCCTCACTCGTCTGCTTCATCCAGCGGCTCCCTGCGCGTGCTGCGAGGTCCGAGGACAAATGACGACACAAAGCTCCGGGCGCTGTTGTTGTACACCTGCCGGTACAAAATCTCCCACCGATCGAGCTTCTCCTCCTCGCTCATCACCAGCGCATCGTTGATTGCGTTGGAAATCGCCCGCGTATCCATTGGGTTGACGCCCAATGCACCGCCGCTGAATGCGCCGTACGTGCCGACAAACTCGCTCAGAATTAGTGGCGAGTGCTTCTCGCGCTGGCACAGCACAAATTCGTGCGATGTCAGATTCATTACCGTCGCGCAGCGACATGACCATCATTGCGTCAGCAGTAGACAGCAGCGCCAAGTAGTGGGTGTACGGGATGTCTTTGTGGAAGAAGACGACCGGCTGGTGCTCGATGTTGCCAAACTTGGAGTTGATCCGGTTGACGACATCCATGACTTGCACATGCAGCTCGTTGTGCTCAGCTGTGGTCAGGGCAATCTGGAATGAACACGGTCTTGGAGGCATACTCTGGATGGTCGTTTAGGAAACATCTCATAGCCAAGCAGCTTTTGGCGCACGCCCTTGACGTAGTCGAGCTTGTCGCGACCGACTATCAGGTACTTGCCCGCGTACTT